TTGCGGGTTTCCCTTCTGAAATTGAGCCTTGTCCTGATCTTAGTATCTGCACATTTTGATTTTAAAATAAAGTGCCTTTATTGTTCTGTTCCATTCCTATGTTCTGCTTCCTGCTGGTTGTTTGGGCCACTTCTCTGTTTTTTTCCGTTATTGCAAGTCTCACTGCGGAGGACGGACATTCAAAGCCCTGCCTTAGAATTTTTTTTGAACTGAGCAACATCTCTGTAGAGCCCTGATTTCAAGGGCTTGGTTCTGCCTAGCCAAACAGTCTGGGTCACAAAGGTGGTGCACAAACTCGCCCTGACTTAAAAGTAGATAAAATTCACTGTTTTAAAAAGCAGTCTTTGAAAATTTAAGCTAGTTTTTAAATGTTTTATTGTCAAGATTGTTTTGTTTTGATTATTAAAAACCCATATGGTGATATTTTTTATTAAAAATAAAAATGTGTTAGTTCAAAAAGCTTGTCATGGAATAAGGGCTTTGATTTCTAATTCTGTATTATGAGCCAGGGTGTTTGTAGAATCTTTTTTTTTTAAGTGTTGCAAATGGAATCTGACTGTATAAGGTTCCATGATAATTTCTGTCCCAAGTACTCAAGTCTAGGAGATTCTGTGAGAAAAAAAATCAATTCTTCATGGCCTGTGTGAATGCACACAAACGAGTTTAGACTGGACCTGCGCAGGACTCCTTGAAATATTCTAGAGCTTTAAAACATGTGATTAGTAGGATGTTGCCTCATGACGCGCATGCTCTGCCTGCCCGTAATATCTCAGTTCCTTTTAGCCGCCGCTGACCACAGACTCCTTTAGCAACTATTAGAGCTATTCCTATCCTAATCATTCGGCTTTTTGATCATGGATTTTTTTTTCTCGTTTACGATTTTGGATCACGGATTTCATTTCTAAACGATGACATACGATCTTGGACTGTTTAATATTTACGGCTTTGGATATCAGACGTTTTCCCTTTGAGTTCTTTTATTTCCTTCCCCCCCTCATTTTGACTCCCCCCCCCCTTTTATGGCCTCTTCAGGTCCATTCAAGAGGTGTGTGTCGTGTACCAATAAGACACCTTTCACCGACAGCCATGATCACAGTTTATTTTGTCTAGGAGAGAGACGTCAGACTCACTTCTGTACGGAGTGCAAAAAATTAACTAAGCCGGCTCTTAAGCTTCATTTGCAAATATTTCAGTCATATCTCTGGGAAAAGTCCCTCAGACCCTCCAACCCACCCACTAGCCCTGCAATGGAGCCTACCAGTACTCCTGTTCCTTGGTCTGAGCCGTCTTCCATTGGCTCTGACAACTCCTTCACGAAGACCTCGTTGAAAGCACCAAGACCAAGAGCTTCTTCACCATCGACCTCGGTGTCGGAGGTGCCTTCGGTCCCAAAGGACTGCTTTCCTAAGAAGAAGAAAGATGGAAGTAAGCAAAAGAAGACTAGATGGGCGTCCAAGTCTGCTCAGCCGTGTGAACCTCCAGCTCTTCACATCTCCCTTCCTTCCCCGATCCTGGAAGAATCATCAAGGGACATCCTGGATCCGGATTCCCTTTCAGAGGCTGAAGAATCGGGACCGCCCCCATAGGCTCAAGCTTTGGTGTCGGTACTGAGCTTGTCCCCATCTCAAGGCCATTTTGAGGCTGATGTCATCTCCAGCCCGGCCTCAGCCCATCCGAGCCCTGTTTCAATTGGGCAGGCAAGTGTAATCCAACTATGCAACTCGGAGGCATCGGCCTTCAGTCACCTCCGCGGAAGCGATCAGCAAAGCGTCGTCATATCTCTCCAGCTCGGCAATATTCCCAGTATAGAGAGGTGATTCTTGTTCCTCGTCCATCTTGACACCATGCGGTGTCAGAGTATGGCGAACCCCTCTATACCGAGTTGGATGACGTTCTCAGCTGTATCGATACTGCATGGATGAGATTGATCCTCATTACATCAAGGATTATTATGGACGACCTAAGCGTGTTCACTGCACTTATGCCTCTCCTGACTTTTCCCAGTCACCCTCACCACCACCACCTCAGCATCAGCATCAAACATATCTCCAGGTTGACCCCGTACTCCTGATATCAAGGAAGTCTGCTTCCAATTGTGGCTTGCCTCAGTCGGAGGCCCTTCTGGAAGCAGTGCCATTGAAACGGTTACGCACAACCTTGGTACCAGCGGCCTTGGTACCGCTTTTGAGTGTTCCCATCTCTACATCCTGTTCACATGGTTCTACCTCAGTGTTGACTCCTCAGGTCTTGATTTTTACATCTCGAGCTTGTTGTCATTCTCCCTCACCTCCTCTCTCCATCTCTAGAGGTTCTTTGGTTTCTGAACACGATCCTCTTTCTGAAGCTTCCAGGGAGTCTCCTTCTAACTTACCAACCCCTGATTTGGATGTTGCAGATGTTCATCCTCCGTCCCATCTGAAGACTTTACCTCTTATTCTTAACTCATACTTCGGATGGCCAAATCATTGGAGCTCGATATTGAGCAACCTCCTCCTTCTAAACAGGACGTCATCTTCAATGACATAAATCAGGAAAAATCCCCTCCGTTGAGTCTAGCATTCATACCAGCTATGCTGGGCCTTGTTAAATAATCATGGGACAAGTGATCCACATCCCTTCAAATTTCCAGACAGGTCGAGAACCACTACTGAACACATGGAGCCGACACAGCTTTCCTTGTCAAGCATCCGTCTCCAAATTCTATTATTGTACAGTCTAATCAATCTCACGCCAGTAACCGGTCAACAGTAACTCCCACCAACCGAGAAGGTAGGAAGTTGGATGTTCTGGGTCATCATTTAAATTCTTTGGCTTCCTTTGTGATGAGAGTTTCAAGTGGCAGTAGGCACTTATCAAAAGTTATGGAACAAAGTCCTTCCAATCCTTCAGTCTGCCCCTGAGGAAACCAGGGCCAGCGCCCTTAATACTCACCTGGAATCCACTACTCTGGCCAAACAGCAGCGCCTTGCATTCCGCCACACGGCCAATGCTGCCTCAAAGGCTTTGGCTTCTGCCATCACCCTCAGAAGACATGCTTGGCTGTGCTCAACAAGGATCAATGATGGTGCTAGATCCCGTATTGAAGATCTCACTTTTGATGGAGTTGGTCTTTTTAATGAAAAGACGGATGAGGTGATGGACAATTTACTCCACCCAGCAGCCCAGTTACTAATGCAACCAGTGGCGTAAACCCTTCACTTTTCAGCGATCATATCAACATTCTTACAAACCTTTCACTCCAGCCCCAGAGAGCTCCAATCTTCAATCTTCTGCCACTCCTTCCTTCCACTCTCAGGCTCCGGCTCAGCAGCATAGGCAACCTTTACATCATCCTGCAAGGAAAAAACAAGCAATACCTTTGCCTCTTCTTGTCTGCACCTGTTTCCCCCCTGCCCCCATCATCCATGGCTAGACCCCTTTTTCAGCAAGTGGTCCTCCATCACCAAGGACACTTAGGTGCTTGCCATCGTATGTTACGGTTACCTGTTGGAGTTCCTATCGGTCATGTCAGACCCACTGCTTACTCACCTGTCCTAGAGGACAAGATATCTCTTCTTCCCCAAAGCGTGCTATTTTGAGAGTACCTCCCCAATATGCTCTGAATGGATTTTACTCCTGTTATTTCACAGCTCCCATAAAGTTTACCTAAAAGCTTTAGCACTCCTTTACCAAACTCGGCTGTCCATATACCAATTTTAGTTGTTTTTAGGCATCCTTCAGTCTTGAGAGACTATGGTAACGTGCTCTATATGGAGCACTTGGAACAGCGTCTAGTGTGGCTGAGAAGGTCGATTTGAGAGTGACCATCCCTTCCACAATGAAGTTTTAATTATAAAGGCTACACATTGCCCCCCCAGCAAGCTGGGTACTCATTTTACCGACCTCGGAAGGATGGAAGGCTGAGTCAACCTTGAGCCGGCTACCTGGGATTTGAACCCCAGGTCGTGAGCACAGTTTTAGCTGCAGTACAGCGTTTTAACCACTGCGCCACGAGGCTCTTAATGGCCGGCAGATGGTCTTTAGCTCCTTCTGGGTGTAGGCATGATGGTCTGGTGCGGTCCAAGGGGCCGCAATATATGATTTAAAAATTAAATTAAAAGATTAAAACAATAGTCTTAGTTGTCTGCTGGGTGCTCATAAAAAAGTGGGAGGCAGCCTGACTTTCCTTTGGGGGGGCATTCCACAGTTGAGGTGCTCCTACGGAGAAAGCCCCATCTCATGTGCTCAGTGCTATATAGTTTTATATGGTGATGAGGTATATAGCATGACCTCTGTGAGACCTCAGGTTCCAGGAAGGCACAAACAGGGGGAGGCAGTCTTTCAGAAATCCTAACTCCAAGCTGTTTCGGGGTTGTTTTTACAAGCCAGTTGATGGCTGTACAAGGCCTTTACAATGCTTTACCTTTTGTGGCCAGACTTCCTTTGTACTCTGTGTCCTTTCATAGCCCAGACTCCCATCTCTAGGTTTTTCCAGCATTTCCTTTCCCTGTTTATACTCCTGAGGGGGAGTATCTTTGTTTGAGATAACCAGTGTGGTATAGTAAATGAAGAGATGGATTTGGATTCAGGAGACGTGGGTTCAAATCAACATACACTGTAATTTTCAACCCTACTGGGCTTGACTTCCTCTCTCTCTCCCCCCCTGTGTGTGCACTGCTCCGCCCCCGCCTTGTGCAAGGTTCTGTCACAACCAGAACCAAAGGGGGGGTTTGAAAACAATCGCTGTAAGGAGGGAAGTGGAGTTGCGCATGCACAGGGGTACACCTTTGAGGAGATAACTTTGGTGCAAATACGTGCTTGACTGCGGAAACTCAGAGGAGGAGGTGGGATTGGTAAAAATGCTCTGTCAATCTGTCACGTACCTTGAAAGTCCTGTTGGAGTTCCTATCGGTCCTAAGGGTTCCTAAGGGTTGCTGTAAGTCACTTCTGACTTGATGGCATGTAAAGCATCCACATCTGAGGTTTAGGTTTTACACATTCAACAAAGGATGTTTCTGTCTTTTCAGGTGCTGGAGAACTATTCCGATGGACCCATGACCCCAAAACAGATTCTACAGGTCATCGAAACGGAGGGCCTAAAGGAAATGAGGTTAGAAAAGGTTTTCTTGTCTTGTGTGGGATGCGGCAAATTTCACTTCCTATTTTCTTTAACCTACCTCTTTCTCTGCCTTTAAAGGATCTGTATATGTTTTGAAAATGTAATTTATGTGGTTCCTTAGCTTCAATTGGAGAATATTCTGAATCTCTTGGGTAAAAAGCTGTGCCCTCACCGGATGCCATCATGGTTTTGTTGCAGTCTGTGTGCAAGTCCACAGATGTACCTGTGCAGAGCCATCGTTTGGAATTTTCAAGATAGATTGGGTGGTAGCTTTGACGGCCCAGGAGACTGTCCCGTCTTTTCTGCTTCACCTGCTATAATGGCTTCACCTTGTAAGGCACAGCATGTCTCAAAGAGAGCTAGGATTAAATGGTCATTTTGCAATATTTTCCTTTATTAATATTTTTCCTTTTAAATTTTATTTATTCCATTTATGTGTTTGTGTGTGTTTTATCTCACAGGCGGCTTACAATATTGAAACAATAGATTTAAAAGAATATTGAAATCTAAAAAAGAATAAATTATTACACAAATTATTGAAAGAATTAAATGAGCATCAGATTAGAAACCAGCAGATAAAAAACGTTTAAAACCATTCTAAAAAAAAAAAAAAACAAGCAGAAAAAACATAGCAGCCCCATTCTTAAGAACCTTCTCTTAGGGAGCCAGTTAGAAATTTTCTCCTCAAGACCTATGGCCCGAGGGGCATTCTTTAAGTACTGTAAGCTCAACATTCTTCTCACAGGTGGAACATGATCCGTGCCTCGTGTGCATGGTCATACAGAGTGCAGCGCCTTGACCTGCATGATTTTTGAGTCCTTTTCTTACCAGCCTTGCTTCAGCTGTGGTGCCCTGTTGGAATATTTCCCCCAGGAGAAGCTTTTCCTGCTGTTGACGCGGCCAAAAACATTTCTCATTGACTCCTTCACACTGACCTCTGCTGTAACTACTCAAGTCTTGCATGTCAATATCAGCTTCATCAAGAGTGACTCAAGAGTGTCCACAGGGTGGAACCACAAAAAGGAAAAAGATGGGATGCTTCAGATCTCCTTAATTAAAAGAAAGAAAGGAAGGAAGAAAAAGGATAAGCATTCTAGACTACGCAACTTTTTTTTATCATGGGGAGGTGGAAGTGAAATCTGAACCATCATTGTCAGATGTCTTCTTTTTGTTCTGACGTAGCCGTACATCAGTTTCACTATAATGCCCAATACCTGGCTGTTTAAGGGAGAGTAAGGTAGGAAGCCACTGTGGCTGAGTCAATCCAACAAGTTACACAGGAGCAGCATGTTATGTTTAGTGCTGTACCAACTCACAGTACTGATCCCATGTTCCAGTCTATGATTCGGCGGTTCTTTTTCTTTGTTTGTATATACTTCTCACTCACCGGCTCTTCTTCATGGTATTGGTGGACCACACAGCTGGGTTTGTGCTTATACAGAGAGAGCTGTTCTCGGAACATTCCAGAGCTGAGCCAGCTTTTTGGTGGAAGCTCTGCCCCATCCCTCATCATGCATGACCAACGTGCTCCTAAATAAACCCTTCCGTTCCTTTTTATCCACCAGAGCAAAAGCATCTAGGAACATCCTTTGCTGAGCATCTGATCATTCTCAATGTATTTGATCCTCTTAAGTAGTTTTTTATTTCTCCCTCTCATTGCATCTAAGAAAGATGAACACTGAGGGAAGCCTAGAACCTCATCAACTTCCTGGAGTTGTTGGCAGTCTGCAGAGTCGTATTGCCGTTGTCCTGTATTACTACTGTAGTCCAAACTGCCACAGACAACTGCTCTACTGTTTCGTGTGTTGAACAAACATATTTCTTCTAGCAGTGCATGTGGCTGGTAAGAGAAGTCCTTTAGTGGTCTTCCTAAGGAGATGCTGCCAGAAAATATGCAATAGGGAACTTGGTTGGCTGTTCAAAAAATCCCACATCAGCCTGTTTGCTTTGCTGTCAAGCTGGAAGCTGCAGTTGAGTCGGGACCTGTCACGGCTTGCAAAGGAGATGCACTCCCCTTTTCCTGGCAGAACAGGAGCTTGTCCGTTTTCCCACCTTTCCCCTACTCTCCACATTCAACATTATAGCATGGTGGCTCTAACCTTAGACAGAGGAATGCAAATTATTCAAGCAGTGAAAAAAATCCTCCTTGTGTAACTCCTGCAAGCACTCTCCTGTTGCTTTGCCAGGGTCCGTGCTTTTGTCCTGGGCGGTTCACTTTATTGAGTTCTGCAGTTCCTACTCTTCCTGTCAGTTAAAAGGTTATGCTTTTCTTCAATTGAGGTTTATTTAGCAATGTTATCGTTCCACCTTGCTCCACATCCTGTATTATACTCATCAACTCCAATGCTATCAGAAATAAGAAAAATCCTTATACAGAGTGGCACAATCAATTCCTCACACCTGCTCTCCTGATTCTGCCTTGAAGCCTCTTATCGGTGAACTCACAAAGCCTCATTTTAGTCTTCTGGCCACTTCTTCTTTTCACTGAACTATTTGCCAGAATAGATTTACTGCATCACATTGTGTCGAATAATTCTTCACACTGAGGATGCACCAGCCTTATTTATTTTGGCACCTGGATAAGAATTGTCCTTTTCCTTGACCTTACCTTCTTCCCTAAAGTGGAATCTACCTTTCACCATCAGAGTCTTCATTCCGTCACCAACTTGACCAATTGAAAAAGTCCTGCATGTTGTGAAAAGCTCCACTTCAAAAACCCACAAAGTTGTTTCTGGCTTATGCTGACCCTAAAAAATGGTTCCTGATGTGTTTGACAAATGGGTTGTGAAGATGATCATATTCTAGAGAAGTGATTCATTCTGTCATGGTCCAGTGAGTGTTGGTTCCTACTCACCTGCCTTCTGGAGTGGGTTTTTTTAACTAATATGTGTAAGCACACAGAGACCATGATGAAGAAAACAGTGGTCCTCTGTTCCTTCAGGCTGTCCACCCTCTTCTGCTCCTGTGGTTGACTAATACTCTGCAGCTGTATCATCCAAATATTTGATCTGAAGGATTAGCCAGTTGTGCTATAGTTAGGAGAGTTGGATCTGCTGGCCAAACTTGGCCTATCTAGAAGGTTCTGAATAAGATTCTGCGAAGGCAGACGGCTGTGTCTGATACTCAGTGAGCAAACATAAGCGTGCATCCTGGTTTGGACATGTTTGCTACAGATAAAAATTATCTGCCATTGAGAATTCATTTTTCTTATGTCAAAATTGTGACAAGCGTTACTGTGCTTTAGTGACATGTTGCCAATGAGTCCATTTTGGTCTTCTAAATGGTACAATCATTGTTTTTTCATATTCAGAGGAAAGAATTTTTTCTCTTTCTCCCAAGGAATTGTGGAATTCTCAATATCCTGATTAAGGATCCAGAGCACGAGGGCTCTGCACGCTCAACACTTAATGTGTGCCCCAGCGATATTGACCTCGAGGTCATGCAAACTGGAGATCACCTTGTTGCACTCAGTGGGATTTTACATTTGCTCACGGAGGTGCTGGGTTCTCCCCTTGGCAAGCAATATTAAAAGAGGAACTGTGCACAAAATAGGCTAGTCAGCACCCAGTTCTCCTCAAAGAGGGTGCTGGCCAGTACATTTTGACGAGGAGACAGATTAGCACTGCTGCACTTACCAATATTAAATCTGTTGTTGAATTCAGCCGTAGCATTAATTTTTGAATCTCAAGTTATAGTACAAATTTGGATTTAACTTAGGCAGACATCAAAATCTTGAAACGAGACCATGTAAGGTGTTCCAAAGAAAGTGTTCACAAGGTAATCTTAACTTTTATTCCATATTTAATTGAGACAAAAAGCTAAAAATGGGGTGGGGTTGGGGACGAGACAAATGAAAAAAGGGAAGACAAATGAATAGAATTAATTAAACGTATCTGTAATATTTGGTCAGATTTAGTCCTGTAGACTTTGGAGAGGAATTTACGGGTCCCAGATTTGGGCTTCCAATATAAAATAATTGAAACTGACTACATCTTGCTGCTGTGTTTTGTCCTAATCAGTTTGTCTGCGAATGTGAACTTTTTGTTCTGTGTTAATTCCATTCTGTTTTTCCATTTCTTTTTATGGCTGTTTCCCCACCCAAATGTAACTGGCACTGCTATGGAACCACTCTGTGTCCACAGAAGGTAAACTATTTTCTGGATAGCAACAGAGTCTACAGGAAGCTTCCTTGCTGCTGGATTTAAATGTCTGTCTTTTTGCAAGCCAGGTTTCAGCGCAGATCACAGGGATAGAAGTATGAAGTGTGTTGTCAACGTTCTATTATCTCAGGGTGGTTGATGCCTGATTTTTGTGTTCTTCTTCCCTTTGGCTTTTGAAAAAGAAGTCCATCTTTTAACACTTGGTCAGTTTAGGTCCCTCTTATGGAAGGCATTCTACTGGTCAGCTCTGGGGTGCAGAAATCACCTCCAGGCAGGCTAGAGAGCTTTGACTCTCCTTTTTCACAGTGTAGCTTGCCACCGCGAGGAGCTGAGGTGAAAACCTGGGTCAGTGACTGCTGGACATCTAAACAGTAAACATATTTTCATGGCTTCTTGCTATATGTGTCTTACATGCTTGGGTTACTGCTTCCATTGCGAAGAACATCCATGCAAGGCAGACACAAAGCCCTCGCCAAGTGCTTCTTTTCACAAAGGGGCCGACCAGTTGGCCATGGAAAGTGCTCAAACAGGGCATGAGTGCAGTAGCCGCCCCTCTTGGGCTTCCCAGCAGCCAGTAGACAGAGACAAACTATCTAAGGGAATAGCTAGCCATTGTGGCTAGTGGCTGTTGGGACGCCCTACCCCCCCCCCCCCCCGTGGATCTGTTGTCTTTTAAAGTCATCCAAGTTGGTGCACCATCAGGTTAGTGAATTCCAGAGTTTAGCTGAACGCTCTGTGAAGACATGCTTCACTGTATCTGTCCTGAATCTCCCACGATGCGCTTTCAGTGGATGTCCCAGTTCTCTCCTTATAGGAAGGAAATCACCCGTTCCATGAATAGTTCTTGCTACCTCTTGTCATGCCCTTTCAGTCTCCTTTTCCCCCAAGCTAAGTGTATTCAAGAGATTGTAATTTTTCTCCTTGGTGAAGTGTTCCAGCCCCTTGGCCATTTCGATTTCTGTTCTCCACCACTTGTTATGCTTTTTGGGGGTGGTGATCAGAGAACTTTGTGCCATAATCCAAATGTAGCAGCCTGCTAGCTTTTTCAAGGGCGCTCTGATATGGAGGCCAGTATCTTATTGCAGATGCCTGCATGCGCTAGCTAGCATGGAAGTGGATTCAATGAGTTGACAAGGTGCTTGTTGCTTGCTGGTTGTGCAGCCAGCCTCATCAGGTAGCCAGATCCACTCCTGTGGCAGTGGCTGCTCCATATATTGTGGTCATTGAGCCGCCGCATAGAGTTTTATTTTGTCCTTTTACTAATAATGTCAAAACTGGCTGGACAACTATGTGGTTAAGGTATAAGTCGTAAGTCAGAATTGACTTGAAAAAAAACACACACACGTGTGTCTATGTCTGTGTGTTGTCTTCCATGTTTGGCATTTTTAATGCCAAACGTGGAAGACAACTTGTTTTTCAGAACAGCCTCACAGTTGGGGGATGTTTTCATTGAGCTGTCTCCCACACTCCCCAACCCCCTTTTTTTTGGCTAGTTGCTGCCGCTCACATCCTGCCAGTGTTTATGTATGTGGTGCCCCAACATGTGCCACTTTATATTATATATAAAATCATATTATTATTTGTCCATCTTGCATTCTGTTGTTAATTTGCGTCTTATTCTTAATACATTTATACTTTCATCATTTATTTTTTATATTTTGTGTAAGCCGCCCAGAGTGGACACATTCTAGATGGGTGGTATATAAGTTTAATTAAAAAGAAAAAGATTAAAAACAACAATTGCCCCTTTTAAGGCTTCTTCTCCTGAATTGGCGGGATTCTTTCGAAGCTGCTGTCTGTTTTTGTTTTGTCAAAAGGAAGAGGAGGAATTTTGGGTCATCACTACTCAACAGTTATCCTTTATGAACACTTGGATGATTGCATGTCACAGCACATCTCCCTGCTGACGCTTTACTGTTATGTAGCCAGTCTTTAAGAGGACTTCCCTCTTCACCCCGTTAGTAGTTTTGTTTGGAGCCCTTGGTTGAGGGATTTTGTCAAAAGATATTTTGGGAGGCCACATATACAGTGGTGCCTCACATTACGATGTTAATTCATTCCAGCGAAATCGCTGTAGAACGAAAACATCGTAAAGCGATTTTAAAAAGCCCATAGAAACCCGATTAATGCGTTCCTATGGGCTTGAAACTCATAGCGCGGCCATTTTCGCTGCCCGTGCAGCGAGGAATCCGTCCCAGAAAACAGCGGGTGGCCATTTTTTTTACCCGGTGGCCATTTTGAAACCGCTGATCAGCTGTTGGAAATTGTCGTTTTTGTGATAATCGGTTAGCGAAGCAGGGAACCGATCATCGCAAGGCTAAAAAACCCCATAGGAAACATCGTTTTGCGATTGCTTTTGCGATCACAAAAACTTCGTTATGCAATTTCGTCGTAAACGAAGCGCTCATCTTGCGAGGCACCACTGTACGTTTGCCAAAATCCTGTTCCATGTTTGACTTTAAAGTTACCTGGTGGAAGTCCATTAAAAGCTCCTGTACTCCCTTTTAAGGTTATGAGGCTCCCTTTTGCCCTGGGGAAATACCTTTGGGAACCTTGGGATGGAGGGTGGGGAGCCTTTTAACAGTTTAAAAAAAAAAGCTGCCAGATCGCCGCTGCCAGTTCCAATCCTGATAGTGGCAATCTGACTGTGAATTTTTTTAACTTTCAGAGGCTTCCTCCATTCCAACACTCCCAAAGGCTTCCCCGGAGCAAAAAAGTAGTTTTGTGGAGCCTTGGGACCTTAAAAAAAAAGTGGGGGGAGGAAACTTTTAAACAGTTTAAACTAAATGTTACTAGTGCCAGCTGATGACATTATTTGCTTCTGCTGTGTAACTTTGCATGAACAGGATTTTGCCCCATGTTTTTCAGATCGCTCCCATCCACATGGAGCGTAGATTGCTGATTTCAAATCATTGAACGATTGAGCATTGCTTAGCAAAGGGACTTGTGGCTTGATTAGTTTCCCTAATTAGCAACTCAGCCCAAGCTTGTCTTGTTTCATGTCAGTTGGGGGCAGCTTTATTTACAGGAATGAACAAGTTTGACCAGTTAATTTTTTTCCCGTATAAAGATGTGCCATACAAAGGCTCTAGAAACTTTAAACAGTATAAGTGTTGGTGTTCTACAAAATATAACTTGGGTTTCTGGGTGTCTTGCAAGAATGATTTATAGGACAAAACATAGTTCTTGTGGCTGCAAATCTTCTGCTGTCTTTTTGGATTTCAAGGTGAGAGTTGACAAGCATTTTCTGTAATAAATAGATACACGGCTATGATTTTTCTTTTGTAGAAAGATATGATTTGGAGTATCTTGGAGGCATTCAAAATATTTTGAGATTTTTATATCCAAGATGGAAATGCTTGCTTAGAACAGCTTTGAGTTTTGTTTATATGAACTGTGTCATCTTTAGATTTAGAACTGTTTTCTCATCTCCAGGGGCAGTCATGTTTACAGGCATAATTTTAAAAAGGCAATAAGGAATGGAGCTCAGGGTTTTTTAGCCACAATGATGACATATGTAGGAGTGAAACCCTTATGGAAGAAACTTAAAGAACATGATTTCATAGTTTGGATGCTTGTTCTAAATGGAGGCTAGAAGATCTTCTCTCCTTCCCAGGTGCTGAAAAATATTTGGGACCCCTTTATTAGAAGATGTCCTGTCTGGATGGTTGGAAATGTTTTATCTGTCATATGATATGAGGGAAGGAAATGGCACATGTCAGTAATTTGCTGAAAACAACAACAATCAGTGATCCTGAAATAGATGTTTGGTTCATTAGTAGATTGTTCTGAGTACAAGGAAGTTGATGAACAGGATGTGGTATTTGTGTCAGGTCTAGACTATCTGAAAATCTTCCTACAAACTTGCTATGTATATCATGATGTTTGAATCCTACCATGATTTGCCACAGTCTTTCTGCTCATTGTGAGGCAGTGTGGCTTTGAGTCAGGTTATTGGCAGTTATTGTGTGCATTTCTTTCTTCAGTGGCACATCCCCGTTGGCCTGCCTAAATGCAATGCTTCACTCCAATTCAAGGAGTTGTGATGGGCTTTTTCACAAGCTTCCTGGGCGCATCAGCCTTTTCACTCTCAAGGTAAGACCAGATATATTTTCCTTTACTCCAGGGATGAGTGACATTTTCGCTGGCTGATGCATATTGCATGAATGTGGCACCTGCCACATGATAGGGTCTTTGGTCTAGAATTTCTTCTGTATCAGCCATTGGGGTCGATACTCTCATTTCAGTGAATCTCTCTAACTTGCAATTCAGTGTCCATCACATTCATAAACACAGTGTAGTATTCAAGAAATGGCAAAAGACCCACCCTGATGTACAGCCCATTTTCAGCAATTAGAAATTGCTGTTTATCCTAGCAGACCAAAGCACCTGGATCAAGGTTTATGGATTTGCTAACTCAGGAATGAAGTCTTGAGCATTAGGGTTTCCCTGATTTAGTAGTGTTGATGGGGATCTTCCCTTTGGCTTTTGAAGATCAGTTGTGGCTTCTCATAGACCATTCAACATTGGCTTGTTTCTTCCAGAAAGACGCCGTGCCGTGGTCTCGAAATCTCTCTGCACCTGAGGGAGAAGATCTAGATGACACTGTGGATGCTGAAAGCAGCGGCTCCAACGAAGCTGCCAGTACTGTGAGTGGTGATAATGATGGTGAGTATCTGTTTGCTCAGATCCTCCACTTCTTGTTTCTTCAAAGGATGTTGACACAACGTTTATCTTCTCCAGTGTCTCTAGATGAAACCTCCTCAAATGCTTCGTGTTCCACCGAGCCTCAGAGCAAGAGCGGGTCTGCTGTTCGGGAGAGCAACAGAGCAGTCTCACAGGTAGGAAGAACACGTAGAACCAGCAGTAGGGGAAGGGTAATAGTCTTAGGTTGAAACAGGCAACACCTCTCTGCTTCTTTTAGCTACCTTTAGCTTATAGCTAATGTTCCTGGCTGTCTCAGGGTTTATTTCCTGAAGTGTTCTATTTTGTAAAGTGCTCTGAAAGTTCTGTAGAGGTGTAACATATTCGTTTTCTGTATAACAAAGGAAATAAATCTAAGATGTCTCCATAACAGAAGCCAGGTGGAATGGAAGGGAGAGCGTTGCAGGCACACCTGGCTGGCCTGTTATTGTGTTTTATAACTAAGCAGCAAGTCCTTCCCTTACTACTGGTCACAGAGGGCATTGAGCCTTCAGTGAGTCTGCGGTGGGGCAGTCCTGGCCCGTTGATTGTGGAACTCTTGCACAAGAGCAGATGATGCAGCGTGGAGAAGGTCGAGGGCAGTTGCTGCACAGCAGAACTGCTTGGCTCTTCAGACTCTTGTTGAAAGCCTTCAAGGTTGGCGATTTGGGATCTTTCCCTCTTTTCTGAACGATTCGAACTGGAATACTGGATTCCCTGTATACAAAGGAGCAGCCCAGAAAAAAGTGCTTGTGTAGCAGAAAGAGATCTAGATTGTGGCTGTGTTCGGTTTCTTAGCTCTCCTCTTGTGTTCAGAGCTGCCCAGATCCGTGGGTGAGGGGGAATATGAGTGAACACAATGTGTGTACAGTAGTTGGACGTAGTTGCTGCTGCTACTTTATAATTTCACTCAGAATCTTCCTCTTCCGTGTACCCACAGCAATAGTTTCCAGTCCCTTTGGTTCTGGTTGGGAAGGAACCCCCTGTGCGGGGCTGGGGGGTAGGAGTGGAGTCATGTGTGTGAGGGGCGGGGAATGAGAAGAAACATTGCCCAGACATCTAAGCAATAGCCATTGGACTGGCTCCACACCTTTGCTGCATCCCAACTTTTGAGGGACCTTTGTGTACCTAGATGAAGAAAGGGCTTTTTGTTTTGGTGCCATCATACAGCAAAGGTTCAGTGTTTCTCAGCCTTTCGCCTTCTAGATGTTTCAGACATCGGTGCCCAGAATCTCTGCCCATGGCAAGTGGGAGTTTTGTGAGTCCAGAATACCTGGAGGGCCAAGGTTGAGAGTCACTGGCACAGATCATTATGATTTCTTTCCCTGCTTCTTGATAACATACATTTAAAGATGTTGCTGTGACTAAGGTGTCATGGAATGGGAGGTAGAAGTAGCCTTGAGGGTGGAAGGATCCCAATAGGTGTCAGGCCAGCCTCTACTTGAAGGTCTTCAGAGAAGAAAAGCCGTCTCCCAGTGACTGGTGCTATCCAGAAATGTTTGTCTAATGTCGGACTGCTAAATCCTAATTGATCTAGTCCTGGCCTCTTGAGCTGTAGCAAATTAGTTCTGGCTCTGTTCTGTGCTCCAACCCTGCAGGTATTTGGAGGCTGTTCTCATGGTATCATCACTACAAAATTCTTCCAGCTAAACATTTCCAGTCCCTTCAACGTTTCCTCTCAGGATGTGTTTTACGTGCCATAACCACCCACATTTCCTTCTCTGAGCCTGCTCTAGTTTTTCAACATCCTCCTTAAACTGGAGGGGGTCAGAATAGAGCATGTTGCTCCAAATTTAAGACTGCTTTGACTTGACATCTTATAAACAGATATTCATTCTGTTTGCACCATGTGTGTACTTTGCTGTGCTATCTGTTATAATAGACTTCCCTAATCGGGTTCCCTCCAGATCTGTATCATCCCCAGCCACCATTGCCAGTGGCTACAGTGGTTGGTAATGATGGACATGGTTGTCAAACTGAATTGGAAGGAACCCTTTTAGGGAATGCTGCACTTGCTCTGTATTTTTTTTTAAACCCTCTTTTTTTTTAACCAATTCTGTTGCTTGGCTAGTATTTCCCTCCATGTATTTTCTTCTACGATTATAGAAACAGATTGGAAGAATGATTATACCTAATTTAATGAGGTGTGAAGATCTGGAACTTCTAGGAAAGCAATTGCAGTCTCACTGCTTTCCAAATATGTTTTAAATCCTGCAGTTATGGGAACGAACTCCTCTCTTCCTGGCTACTGCCAATTCAAAAATCATAGTTGCCATAAGCAGCACAGGACACAGAATTTTGGACCCCGGAACAAACTTCTACAGCTCAGAGAATTTTGACCAGTTCAAGAATTGCCTTTCCCCACCTCTTTCCCAAGCTGGTGCCTGACATCTCATGTCATGGAATAAATTCAGAGGAGGACAACAAGGATGATCAGGGGGCTGGAAACCAAGCCCTGTGAGGAAAGGCTGAAAGAACTGGGCATGTTTAGCCTTGAGAAAAGAAGACCGAGGGGTGATAGGATAGCACTTTTCAAACATTTGAAAGGTTGTCATCCAGAGGAGGGGCAAGATCTGTTCTCCATCATCCCAGAGTGCAGGACACGCAACCATGGGCTCAAGTTACAGGACGCCACATTTCGGCTGAATATTGGGGAAAAACCTCCTAACTCTTAGAGCAGTGTGAGAGTGGAACCTGTGACCTCGGGAGTTGGTGAGGGCTCCAACGTTGGAGGCCTTCAAGGGAAACTTAGACAACCCACCTGTTAGATCTGCTTTGATTTGTATTCCTCTGTAGCAGGTTGTTGGACTTGATGGCCTTCTAGGCCCCTTCCAAGTTCACTATTCTGTGATTCTATGTTATAAATAATATGTTTGGATGGACGATATGGAAACCTTGCCAACAAGAGAGGCTGCTTGTCCCTTGAAGCTTTGCTAGTGTTTCCCCCTTACTTTGCTCTTTGGATGTTCTCTTACATATAGGCAAGCAAACAGAAGAAAAAGGCTGGCGTGATGCTTCCACGTGTCGTTCTGACACCCCTGAAAGTCAATGGTGCACATATGGAAACGTCATCGGGTGAGTGGATGTCCTTTTGCTCTTACTTGCTGACTCAACCCTCGACTTTGGTTTCTCCTGTCTCACTCCAGATCGACTGCTCTCCCTGGTGCTCCCGCGTGCCACCCACAGTAATTTTCCTTTGGGACTTGTTACCTACCAACTTTTCTAACGGGGGGGATTTTCTTTTAAACTTATATATATAGTACTGTACCGAATTTGATTTTCTGAAAAATATGTTTTAAGCAAAAGTTTCTGTCTCCTAGCCTTTGGGTTCCCATTCCCTGATTTCATTTAGTCCAGTTATTTAGAAAAAAACCACACAAAGAAACAGAAGAAGTATTATCCACCACCATAAGTGAAAGGGTCAATGTCTTGGCAGGAAGGCCCTTCTTCTGATCCTGTTCTTTGCACAGTCCTGAGCAGCTCAGACTCTCTTGTTCTCTTTCACTTAATTCTCGTTGCGTGGCTACCCTATATGGTATACCCAAAGGGAAAACCGGAACAAAGCAAGACAAAAGCAGGTGGCCCCTTAAGACTAACTAATCAGTTCTAATGTGAGCTTTCATGGGTCACGTCCACTTGTTTGGAGGTATGGAATAAAAAGACATACAGGATGAAATACCAGATGCTTGTACAGACTAATATGGCTACTTCTTCCAAAACTACGTTTTGGTGTCTCACTGAAACTACGTTAGGGTGTCTCACTGAAAATCTATACATCCCTGTAATCTGTGGCATCCTTACCTATCCAAACAGGGAGAAATAGTCACTGATCTTTACAGGAAGCCCACTGATATCCGCACTTAGCCTGATTGGAAAGCCCATCCCAGTGTTATAAAAAGAAATATTTCATACAGCTTGGCTCTTAGAATCAGCTGCATTTGCGGCACTGAAAGACGAATGAACTTGGGAACCTCCTTTGTTTCACCTAGGATATCTTCCACATATTCATTCCAGACCCAAAAAACAACCCCCTCTCATGTCATGGAATAAATTCAGAGGAGGACAACAAGGATGATCAGGGGGCTGGAAACCAAGCCCTGTGAGGAAAGGCTGAAAGAACTGGGCATGTTTAGCCTTGAGAAAAGAAGACCGAGGGGTGATAGGATAGCACTTTTCAAACATTTGAAAGGTTGTCATCCAGAGGAGGGGCAAGATCTGTTCTCCATCATCCCAGAGTGCAGGACACGCAACCATGGGCTCAAGTTACAGGACGCCACATTTCGGCTGAATATTGGGGAAAAACCTCCTAACTCTTAGAGCAGTGTGAGAGTGGAACCTGTGACCTCGGGAGTTGGTGAGGGCTCCAACGTTGGAGGCCTTCAAGAGAAACTTAAACAACCCACCTGTTAGATCTGCTTTGATTTGTATTCCTCTGTAGCAGGTTGTTGGACTTGATGGCCTTCTAGGCCCCTTCCAAGTTCACTATTCTGTGATTCTATGTTATAAATAATATGTTTGGATGGACGATATGGAAACCTTGCCAACAAGAGAGGCTGCTTGTCCCTTGAAGCTTTGCTAGTGTTTCCCCCTTACTTTGCTCTTTGGATGTTCTCTTACATATAGGCAAGCAAACAGAAGAAAAAGGCTGGCGTGATGCTTCCACGTGTCGTTCTGACACCCCTGAAAGTCAATGGTGCACATATGGAAACGTCATCGGGTGAGTGGATGTCCTTTTCCTCTTACTTGCTGACTCAACCCTCGACTTTGGTTTCTCCTGTCTCACTCCAGATCGACTGCTCTCCCTGGTGCTCCCGCGTGCCACCCACAGTAATTTTCCTTTGGGACTTGTTACCTACCAACTTTTCTAACGGGGGGGATTTTCTTTTAAACTTATATATATAGTACTGTACCGAATTTGATTTTCTGAAAAATATGTTTTAAGCAAAAGTTTCTGTCTCCTAGCCTTTGGGTTCCCATTCCCTGATTTCATTTAGTCCAGTTATTTAGAAAAAAACCACACAAAGAAACAGAAGAAGTATTATCCACCACCATAAGTGAAAGGGTCAATGTCTTGGCAGGAAGGCCCTTCTTCTGATCCTGTTCTTTGCACAGTCCTGAGCAGCTCAGACTCTCTTGTTCTCTTTCACTTAATTCTCGTTGCGTGGCTACCCTATATGGTATACCCAAAGGGAAAACCGGAACAAAGCAAGACAAAAGCAGGTGGCCCCTTAAGACTAACTAATCAGTTCTAATGTGAGCTTTCATGGGTCACGTCCACTTGTTTGGAGGTATGGAATAAAAAGACATACAGGATGAAATACCAGATGCTTGTACAGACTAATATGGCTACTTCTTCCAAAACTACGTTTTGGTGTCTCACTGAAACTACGTTAGGGTGTCTCACTGAAAATCTATACATCCCTGTAATCTGTGGCATCCTTACCTATCCAAACAGGGAGAAATAGTCACTGATCTTTACAGGAAGCCCACTGATATCCGCACTTAGCCTGATTGGAAAGCCCATCCCAGTGTTATAAAAAGAAATATTTCATACAGCTTGGCTCTTAGAATCAGCTGCATTTGCGGCACTGAAAGACGAATGAACTTGGGAACCACCTTTGTTTCACCTAGGATATCTTCCACATATTCATTCCAGACCCAAAAAACAACCCCCTTTTTGGGAGAACATCTTCTCCGTTAAAGGTAGGGATCACAACAGTGATTCAAAACCTCCTCTCCGTATGGTGGATTTCATCTAGCACCTCTGAGCTGCCGCAAGGGCCCCGAACCCCTAGCTAGGAGATTGGGCTTGGCAATATGGGGGGTTGTGCAGGAGAATATTGGGAGTAGCTCCTGTTGCCCGGTGGGATTCTTCCCGCTTATGGGTGTGTGTTTTTCAGGATTTCCAGGGAGACAGGCCGGTGGCGAGGGTGGTGGCAGCAGCAGCAGCAGCAGCTCTTCGGCCCTCTGCGGTAGCAGTCTGCGCAGCAGGACGGAAATGGCCAGAGACCCGCCTCAGCTGTTCCGAGGACTCCGAAAGACCTCAGGAGGTAGGCGCAGATAGCCAGTCTTCCTCTCTAGGCTCATCTCTTTGGTAGCTGCTTTAAAGGGATGCCTGGTTTTAAATTCTTGTTTGTGGAGTCTCATTCTTTTCACACTTCCCTTCTGGATGGTTAAGCAACAGGATCTTCTCCGCTGACTGGGAATACTTCCCTTCTGGAATTGCATCAGGCTTCCTCTTCTAAGAAGACTGCTATTTTGGTAGTCTTTTGATGTGTAGTTTTGACACTATCCGAAACCAGTTTGTACTGTGTTCCATTTAGCTTCTACTTTGAAGATTATTTTTTTTAAATAAATATGAGGCAAGGTTGTGATGGTTAAATATGTAGTTTTTTCTGCTTTAAGCTGTCTCTGAAACTCTGTGAAGAGTGGAATAGAAACTCTGTGTCTTCTGTATATTATAATCATTGTGCTTTACACCAGAGCACATCCCAATAAAATCGATGATATACAAACATGCAACACAACAACCTTAATGTTATGTACTGTTATATCATTTAAAAATGATATAGCAATACATAACATTAAGGTTGCTGTGTTCCATGTTTGTGTGTGTGTGTGTATGCACTGGTATATGTGTGTGTATATTTATATATCCTCAGAATAAGCAAGTGATCAAGAAGAATTAATCAAATGGTGGAGGGAAAACAGCTAAAAAGTTCAAAGACAAATACATGTGTTGCTTTTACTTCTCTCTGCACCCAACACCAATTACCCCAAGTTGAACAAATAGGTTTTCAAGCCGCATCTGAGTTTGTCCTGCTCTGGTCCCATATGGAGGAGGTGCCGGAGGAGAGAATTCCACGGCTGTAGAGCCGGGTGGGACAGTGGGGCAAAGGCTGAAACTGGCCCCACCTTAGTCCAAGGGGGAACCCACAGACGTCCAGAATCCGTGGTCCGAGTCCTCTTGAGAGGCCTAGGCCATGCCGTGGCGCTCTGCTAAATAGTTAGGACAGGAAGAACGTTGGGCTTTAAATGTCAAGTCAAGGATTTTTTAAAATGTGACCTTGTCCTGATTGGCAGCCAATCCAATGCCCTGCAATGTTGGGAAATGATACAAAGCTGCACTCTCCCCCCCCCTCCGCCAACACTAAAAAAGGAACACTTTAATTAGCAGCAACCTAATTGTGACATCTCTTGGGCTGCTTGGCTCAATGGTTCCCAACCTTGGGTCACTCAGGTGTTCTCGGACTGCAGCTCTCAGAAACCCCAGCCAGTGCAGATTGTGGTGAAGGCTTCTTGGGTGACCCAAGGCTGGGAACCACTGGCACAGGTGAAGCTACGCAAAAGGATACTAGCCATTAGGTTTGAAAATTAATTTATTAGGATTAATTCTAGAAAGTGCCATTAACCTCAGAAGTGAAGCTGTTTAACTCACTGGCCTTGGTCTCCAGCTTCTTCAGAAATTCTGTTTCTGTTGCTACAGAATTGTCCTCTCCAACCTGACCATGTTTTGGTAGATAGAGAGACCAGAAATCCCATAGTACAGCTGCCAGCTGGGAGCGTTGGAGAATAGTCCCTATAACAAGCCTGAAAACTGTGAAGATAGAAAGGCTGTTTGTTGTAGAGTGCAGGGTCTAGCTTCGCCCAGTAGAGAAGGACCGATGCAGGCTCTCCCCTCGTCACGTTGGCTGTACACACACTAAGCTAGGAGCCCTTTGCCTCCCAGAGACTTCCCCCTTAGCACACCTAGACAGAAGCCATGATGGAAAACAGGGTGGAGGAGTCTGTCTAAAAATCTCGTCTCTCTCCCCCCCCCCGCATTCAGTCCCCAGAGCACCATCTCTGAATGCGTGCACACACACACCCTCCGCAGGACAGCCAGCGCGGCTGAAAGTGTCTGCTTGGGCCTTTGGAACGCTCTGCAAAGGATACGTCTGGGTGAAATAAGTTTGTGGGTGAACGGCTCCGCTTGAATGTGAGCCTCCCATGCAAACCAGCCCAGCGGTTCTTTCTCATTTTGAGTCAGAGACAGGTTTTGTGTCCAGTGCTCAGGATGCTTTCTCAGAGGAATGCGTCTGTGGACAGTGGAAAGCCATCTTTTTGTATTGTGATGGCTGTCGTGTGGAGAGGATGAGCATGTTTAGAAACTGATTTCTGGGATCTAAAATCGCTGCCCAGGAGAGAAGGCAGAGGCTCCTGGCAGTTCTGCATGGCTTCTAGCATGAAGAATAATTTAATGCAGAAATTGCTGAAATAACATGTAAGATGAGAGCAGATAAAATTCAGGTGGAAGCATTTTACACAAAACATAACCCAGTGCTGTCTGGAACACTTTTTAAGTAAGGGCCAACAGTGGATGGGGGAATAGAAAGCATTCTATTACAAGGTTGGGACATCACAGAAAAGTTTCCATCTGTTTCTCAGCTGTCATTGGTGGGCCAGAGTGGGCCTCACATCTACATCTAAAAGCCTGGCAAGCTCATGTTTGCCCTGGCGGTCCTTGAGCGGTCCCTCCAGTGCACAAGGCGTTCAGAGCTGAGACACACACCTTTCTTTGTTGTTGGGGGTAGGTGGCGGGACGGGACAGGATAGGGCGTGCCTGTGCGCTGATGAAATGCTCTTCAGAATGTGTAAGTGGATCCTGTGCATGTCCGTCCAGGTGCATCCCAGCCCGTTCCACGCTCCTGGAGCTGGGCCACAGCCCTGGCTGTTACCTACAGGGGAGGGTGACGGTGCTCATCAGTGTTTGGGTAATGGTTTTTTGAGAGGCCCAGGTCTTGAGGCTGTTGGAAAAGAAGCCCAGTCCTTTTCTGGGCTGCCTTTCTCTTGTCTCTCATCTTGTGTTCCTCTCAGGTTACAGTGATTTTAGAAACCTGCTTGAGAAGAGCGTCCTCTTTTGTCTGGAGAGCAGGCAGTTTTTCTTCCCTGTTCGCTGTGTAAACACTTCTGTTTTCATGGGGGCTCTTTGGGAGCTGCAGGACAGATGAAGAGGAACAGAGGAGACGACATAGACTTTGAGACACCAGGTTCCATCCTGGTCAACACCAACCTCCGGGCCCTGATCAACCTCAGGACCTTCAACGCTTTGCCCTTGCCATTCCAGCAGCAGCTCTTGCTCCTCCTTCCTGAAGTGGACAGGCAGGTAGGGATTCCGGCAAGCCTCTCTTCCCCTCTTTCTGGTGCCTGCTGCACGCTTCCCATCTGGTGCGCTTTGTCTCTTTCAGACGGGGGCAGACGGATTGCTGAGGCTGAGCGGAAGCGCTCTGAATAATGAGTTCTTTGCCCTTGCGGCCCAGAGCTGGAGGGAACGACTGGCGGATGGTAGGTGGCAAGGAGATCTTTGGCTATTCTGAAAGAAGAGGGGTGTGTGTGTCTGTGTCTGTGTCTGTGTGTGCGCGCACAGTTCTGAAGCAGCAGGAATTCCTGTTTGAAAGAGAGGTTGACTCCTCCCTTGCTCAGTTTGGGTGTCAGAGCCGTTTCGTGTCCCCCATCTTTTCTGCGAAGCTTCAGAACCTCCGTTGGCATGTTGCATACTCTCCCCTAGTTTCTAGGAGGGGGCTATAAAAATCCGTGGCAAAGGAAGTGAAAACCTCTGGCACGTGGTTTCCTGCTGGGGGAGGAATGGATTTTTTTAAAAAAACACTGCCCTTGGAAGTCTCCCTAAGCAGCAACGGTCTTCCAAAACAAGGTGGTGTGCCATCTTACTTCGGTTGTCCTCAATGGCATGTGGTAACGCCACAGTGACTTCCTTAGCTTGTTTCAGCAAACACGGCACGTGCTTGTGGGTAGAGATGGGCACGAACCACTGGTTTGTGCCAGTTTGTTTTTCAGCCCGATGGGTTCCCGGCACTTTCCAGCTCCGCCTTCTCTGGTGGGCACCCACTCGGAGGCCGCACCCTGTCTGTCTGTGTCTTTGCAGCAGTCTATATAGTTCAAAGTCCTTTCACCTATTTTTTTATTTTATTTTTTTAGCACCTAAAAAACAGTGCGCAAATTATCTTCTGGATAAGCACAAGGAACTAAGAAAACATCAGCAAAACTCAAGAGACCTGTCTTTTGCCATTTTGAAATACTTGTTCTGAAACCCTGAGCTTATATTTTGTAAGAAGTCAAGAGGTTTCATGAGGTCAAGGAGCTGTTTATACGTAAGAGTTTAGGGACAGCATTAAAGCACCTTTTTCTGAAATGATTTACCCTGGCTGACACCTCATCATCTTTTGGTATGAATAAGACCTGCTCAGACCTTGGCAGCCCACCCAGTAGAACACACAGACTTCCCCTCCCCTCCCCCTTGGGTCCTAGATCAGTCATCACGCCATGCACTTTCCTGCCATGCAGGTGTGGGGTCCGGATCTTTGTATCGGCTTCTCGTTTTCTTTGCAGGGGAGTTCACTCATGAAATGCAGGTTCGCATAAGGCAGGAAATGGAAAAGGAGAAGAAAACGGAGCAGTGGAAGGAGCGGTTCTTTGAAGACTACTATGGGCAAAAGTAAGTCCAGTACCTATTAAATACAACCCAACATAATGTAGACAGGTTACTTACCTGTAAGCATGGTCCTTCAAGTGGACCTCTGTGAATTCACATAAGTGGGTAAAGACGGTGCCTGCGCTGGTCTAAACTG